AAGTTTATATTCCCTCCTTTTTTCTTGTCTGCAAACTAGTGCTACGTAGACTTCAGTAAAAACCACAAAGTGAAAGCTATGGAAACAGCAAGCCACAAGAAAAATTGACTACAGGTCGAAGATTTCTATCCTGAGACTCTGAAACCCAGAAGGATCCAGAACTTGACACTTTTTTGAGCCTTGATAGGCAAAACTCCATACACGACCTCATGGCATATGAAGGTATATAACATCACCTTCATGATATGTGTATGCATGGAAGAAAGAGAAGTGAGTTTTGTTGCTTGGCCATCTTTGCCACAGTGTCTCATTCTGTCTAGGCAACATTAAAAAAAAAAATCCAAACTCTAAAATACTTCAAGTACGAGTATTTCAATCAGGGACATTGGATTGTGCGGCTGTGTTTCAGCTGCCACTCCCTCTTACAGCGCACACGAGGGTCAGAGGACAATGTGTGAGAATTGCATCTCTCCGTCCACAATCTCGGTCCCAGGGACTGAACCTAGCAGGTTGGCAACAAGGGTCCTTTCCCACGGAGCCATCTCTCCAGAACCGATCATTTCTCTAATGCATGTTAAATTAAAAGTACAATCGACTGCAGGTTCTGTGGTACAATCACTAACGCCCTCAAGCGTTCAGTAACACTGAGGAGAAAGAAAGGGGCATGCAGACACGTGCAGACTTGGGTCGCAACAACAAATCCACGTGGGAAATTTTAAAGTAGTTTTAGCTATGACGTCTCAGCCAGGCAAAAGCAAATATATATATATATATATATATATATATATATTTTTTTTTTTTATTTTTATTTTTTTTTTTTAAGGAGTATTAGCTGCACAGAGTTTTCTCAAATGCCAAGTAGGGAGTATTAGAATAGAGATGCTACTTTGTTGTGACATGGGAGTTTCTCCTCTGCTCCCCTCTTTGGGCCCCCGCTGTGAATTCTAACAACCTCAGAGGTTTTCATTGGTGACTTTCCAGACCAGAGTTCTACATTCAAATGTTGAAAATTCTTAATGAAAAAGGACTATTCCACCCAGACACACAATGGAGCTTAATTTTTATGAGTGCTTTCTTCTCAACAGAAATCTTGTCCATACCCAGAATTCCTGTCACCTCTTCCCCAGTGTGCGTTCCTCACACTTTCACCCAGCTGTGTCCTGGCAAAATGACTGACTCCATCCTGCAGGTGGTAGCTGCTGGGATGGCTTCCTACGTGCTCCAAACCCAGTTTCAACTACGAAATCCCGACAATCCTTTAATGCCCTCACCAAACACTGATCTGTTGAGAAAGAGGCTAGCTGTCGACCAGCAGGTCTGACAAGTGCTGTGACAGCGTACACTGCTATTAATCCTTACGTTCTTAAAAAGGGTTTAAGCTTTTCCCCCTCTTCACACGGTAGGTGGCCTTTCCTCTGCTCTCTCCTCCTCCTGTCCCTTCTGAGGACCTTCTAGAAGCTCCATTCATTTCAATGCGGTCGAGTCTGGGGGGCGGAGCCGGCTGAGTCTACGGCCACCACCCTCGAGGAAGCTCTGCCGCCCCCGTCCTGCGAGCCTCGGCGCCGCAACCCCTGTCCGTTCTCACCTGGAGGCCGGTACTCACTTGCATCCCAGAGAAGGCGAGAAGCACTCAGGACGGGCAATCGGACCCCGACGGTCCGTGATTCCGGCACAGCCTTCCCGGAAACGCAGCGTTTCTCCCCGGCAGCTTTGGTTTCAGGAAATGGGAATCTGAGAAGAAAAGCGCTTGGGTAACTTCGGCACAGGACACGCCCCGTTCGTGACTGCTGCGGGAAAGGTCTTCTGGGAGTTGTGTTAACCGGTCTGGCGGAGCCGAAGAGGAAAACCCCAGTTTCCTTTTCCAGTGCAAATAAACATCTCCATGCACGTTCCTCTGTGACACCTCGTTCTCCTCTGCGCTCTAGTTCAGAGATAGACCACAGAAAGAGAGTTTGTCTTTTGATGGCATCAAAAACGGTGTCACCGTGTTCCCGATTTCTCATTGGCGGTCTCTTCTTTCACTCCTGGATGAGTCTATTCTGCCCCTCGTCCAAATAAGAAGGTTTCCCCGCAGTTTCTCAAGAGAGGGAACCGGTTTCCTGGCTGCTTTGCCTTTCAATAAAGCAAGTGAGATTTGTGACTCAAGTTTTGACAAAAGCATCCCAAAAATACACGAGACGGTGTTTGAGAAAATGTTTTATTGGAAAGTTTAAGAGGTAAACAATGTTTCAACTTACTCAAGCCTTTCTGGGCCTGCTATGCCGAGGAAGTTTAGAAAGAATAGGAGGGCTGGAGAAACAGCTCAGTGGTTAAGAGTATTGGCTGCTCTTCCTGAGGATCCACATGGCAGCTCATAACTGTCTGGTCTATAACTCAAACTCCAGTGGATCCGACACCCTCAAACAGATATATATGTATTCCAAACACCAAATGTACATTAAAAAATAAATAAATTAGAACTAATAAGAATGGGTTTTTATTAACAGCAATGGGATGGGTTTGGGTAAAGCCTTTGATATACCACCCAGAAAATGAGACTGCAAGGCTGGAGAGATGGCTCAGCGGTTAAGAGCACTGGCTGTTCTTCCAAAAGTCCTGAGTTCAATTCTCAGCAACCACATAGTGGCTCATAACCATCTATAATGAGACCTGATGCCCTCTTCTGTATGTAGGCATACATGCAGGCAGAATGCTGTATAAATAACAAATAAATAAATCATTTTTTTTTAAATAAGAAAATGAGAATGTGAATGGCTTCATACCTGAACAAGTTGGAATAGATTCCAACTCGGCTTCCCAACAAAGAAGAAGGAAAGAATCAAACAGTCAAAAAGATAGGTTGCCTAAAAACTAATTTATGATAGATAATAATTCTTTATATGTGACTTTAGAAGTTGTTCAAACAGCCAGAGTGATGGCACAGGCCTTTAATTCCAGCACTTGGGAGGCAGAGGCAGGTAGATCTCTGTGAGTTCAAGGCCAGTCTAAATAGTGAGTTCCAGAACAGCCAGGAAATCACAGAGAACTCTGTCTCAAAAAGCAAACAAGAAAAATAATAAAAATAAAAAACGTTGTTCAAGTAAAGACATAGAATTGCTGTGACACGACTTTCCACTTACGTAAACGTAGTTTCTTTTTTAAAAAACAAATATACTTTCTTGGAATGTTGCTTTATTGTAGCTGTATGTAATGGGTATATGTTAACGAATTTTTAAATACCATAAATCTCATTGAGAAATGCACTTTTAAATAGCACTGTAATATTTAATATTCATCAAATATGTAACTTCATATTTGTCTTTTAAATCAATTATAAATTTAAGATGCATGTATCGTAAGCACAGTATATGTCAGCCTTTAGAATGTTTGTTCAACAGTGTCTATAACAAAGAAGAGAAATAATTTTAATAGTGAGGCCTGCTTCCAAGAAGAGAAAGAAAGAAAGAAAAAAAAAGAAAGAAAGAAAGCAAGCAAGCAAGAAAGAAATGTAGAGTTTTGTTTAAGAAAACCACACAGAGATATTTTATAATTATTTAAAGTTATAATAAAAAATGAATGTCAACTTCAACATATGTGACTTTTTAAACAACCCTGTTTGGGGGCAAGTGAGTTAAAAAATATGTTAGAAATTATTTTGGGAGAAGGAGTGATATTTTAGTGCCTAAAAGATGGCAAGGACACATGGAAATATGAAAAGACACTGACCAATGAAAAGATATCAATGGGTGAGTCGTTTATCTTTATTGAGTCTGGGCAACAGCCACATCTGTCTGTGATAAGGATTCCTGGCAAAATTCCCAGAGCCATCAAAACAAGAGATGGAATGTTTCCGCATTAATCACAGCGTTCAGTTCTAGAAAGTTTCCCAAGATAACAGTTCTTATTTGTAGTAACAGTTTACTACTGTAGAAATTGATCAGAGAGAGCTTCACTTACTGTGAATGTCTGAGGAGGTGTCTGGCTTGTGCCAGGTGCTGCCTTGGTGCTCTGGGTGCTGACAGTGCACGCAATGCCCTCAAGGCCCCATGGTGAAAGGCGGGTGGAGGAGGATAGGGCAGGCGTTAGCATATATGATGAACAGTTTTTGCTTTATCATAATTAGTAAGCACTTCTGCCTTGAAAACACTGACGGGATCTTGGAAATAAATCTTGGTATATGATAATAAGGACATAAATTTGAGAAAGAAGACTTACAGTAAGAAGACTGGATTATTGAATACGATCAAGAAAGTGACTTCCAAAGATATTGTGATATTAATTGGCTGGACCCCATTTAACTTGATAACGGTGGAAATAAACAGGCCTGGGTGAGAGATATGCAAAATAGGAGTAAATGATTTAGAGGTGATTGAAAGGAAAAAAATTTGTAGGTACAGATGAGATGAGCAAGGTGGAGGTTGGACAGAAGAACAGAAGGACACTCCGTAATATAAATATAATACTAGGGCTTAGATCACTTTGTTCTTTTTCTTTCTCCTTGTCTCCTTCCCTTCTTCTTCTCCTTCACCTCTCTGTGCTGGGGATCAAACCCAGTGCTCGGCCCATGTCTAACAAGCCACCACCACTGAACTAGACCTAACCAGGGCTTATGAGGAAAAGAGGGATTTGATCTACAAAGGATTTGGGGAAAGAATGCCCAGAATGACAGTAGAAAAAAAACCCCACAAAATTATGTACCTCAAATAAAACAAAACCAGCAACATTATACGTATTTCCTCTTGAAACGTGGTCTGGCTGAGGATTTCAACAAGATGTCAACACATTGAATCAGGGTCATGCCCTTAATATTAGGTCTGTCTGAATGCCAGGCAGGTAGGAGTGCTGATAGTCTGGGCCACACCTGCAATGAAGCAGTAGAGGATGATGGAGAGAGGAAATAGGTAAGGACAGGAGAGCATCCTGGCTAGCTGAAGCATGTGTCTCTGACACCTTTTAAGAATTCGCCTGTTTCTCAGTCTGTTGTGGAATCTGGGGTAGCCTGTAAGCTTGGTGCTGCTGGGATGCTTCAAAGCCTTAGTAAGAGTGCCTGGGTCCCCATGAAACCCTGCTGTACTCAGGGCTATCAGGAAATTTGGGTAGGAATGAAGTTAGTGACTGACCCTCAACAAAAGCAGAAGTGTGCTGATAAAAGAAGTAAAGCTTTGAAAGGCTCCAGCCCTGCACCTGCCCATGGCCAGCGCTGACCACTCCCTGAGCCCACCCAGGATGAATATGTCTGCTAAACTGTGTGCTAAGCTGTGTTAGATGAGGAACATGGAACATCACTCTATACTTGTCTAAGTACCATTTACAGTGTAGCATTAATAAATGGATGTGAGAAAGAAGAAAGAATGATCTACCTGGTTAGGTCTAGCCCAGCAGGTCTACTTCCTTTGGGGTGAATCAAAGACAAACGATTAGAAGCCCAATTAAAGTGGTGGTGTCTTATTCTGGTTACAGGTTTTTTTTTTTCCTCCTTGTGGAAAAAAAGAGAGGAGATTAATAATAATAATAATAAAGAGCTAGATGAGCTGCTGTGTACACTACACACTATCAGAAGGCAGAAACCTCCAGCTAGAAGGAAGGACACTCCTGAACCGAGTCACATAGAATCTGAAGGACTGGGGTGGACAAGGAAGTCAGATGGGTGTGAGTGCTGCTTCCTTGAACAGAAAGCAGGTGTCAGATAACTCAAGACCAGCAAGGGACGAGCAACTTTTTCTTTTTTTCTATATGGTATCACTAAAACTAAGCTTCTTCTATTATTTAAGTGAAATAAATAGGAAAAAAAATTGTGGAATGGTTTAAGTACCTAAAAGATATTTAAGAGTCTTTTCATAGCTGAGCATGGTGGTGCACGCCTTTAGGAGTGTGTCAGGACACCCTGACGCACTCCTAGCCTCAGCAGCTTTCCTTGGCCACAGAGGGAGAGCTCACAACCCCTTCCTTGCATTCTTGACTGTAAGGCTAGAACCACCTGGCTGAAGCTACCGCATAACTAAGTATGATAATTAGAAATTATGTGGAACCTATATTGAGAGAATTGGCCCAGATGATGGGAGGACAGATACATCGAGATAATATCAGCTGAATAGGAGGGCTTTGGCCAAATGTTACCTAATCTTTAAACAGAAATAGAATCTGTGTCTTTCAGATTGTTGAAGGATTAATAGTAATGTGCTGGGTTGTGGGCATCTAATATTATTCAAACTAAATACTAAGTCACTCAGCATTACCGTGGGACACCTCTCCTTTTTGTGTCAAGAACATATATGATACTGACCACTTTCGTTTTGGCTTAGTAAACCATTCAGGCCTAGTTCTTAGAGTAACCACTTCCCTAAAGAGCTCAGCTCAGCTCAGCTCAGCTCAGACTCAGTGGACTTCCTACAAACCCAACCCTCATCACTCAGCACATTTGGTTCCTTCAAGGGAGGCTAAGTAAGTGTAAAAGCCAGAGGAGGTCTTCAGAAAAGCCCTGGAAAGGAGTTCAGCCTCTGATATGAAGGATGCTGACCTCCATGAACAGCTTTGAGTGCAAAAAGCCTCACTCCTTCAGGGCATCTTAACAGAAAAATGAAATTGTGGGCTAGAGAGATGGCTCAGTTTTTTTGGTTTTACTGATGTTTTTGGTTTTGCTTTTCCTTTAAGGAAACTGTAGAAGTGGTGGGGAGTAAGAAAAAGGAGAAGGAGGAGAAAGAGGAAATCAAACATGAATTCCAACAGCCATGATTTTAGCAGATTAAAACATATTTTTGAGACTTTTGTGCAAAGAGTTTGCATGAAACTTGTTGTTTGATCATATTCTTTCTGCTCTCCTTTCCTAGCGATCTGTAAGGGCAGCCCTTGCTGAGCTGTGAATCTCTCAGAACTAAGCATGTGACTCTGCTGAAGATTTGGCTTTGAACAAAGATGAAGCCAACTCTGAAGTAACTGTGAAACGACCTCATTTAAAGACTGCTTTTAATGGTCTTGTAGGAGTGGACAGCAATAAGGCACAATTAGAACAGACTGTCTGATATAGAAATGAGTGATTTAAGATCACTTTTTTTCAGGCATGTCCTCTGGGGATCTTCAGAAGACTCAACAAACTAAAACTATAGAAACAAGTGGACATATTTCTTTTGGGCTTGTGGAGAGTCAAGGTTTTAGGCTCTCCTGGGCCTTCCAGAAGTCTGGCTAGTCAGAGTTACTGCGATGGTATTGTAACTATCTGAAAGGAGATCTGAGGTGACAGCCAGGTGTTCCTCAGGCCCTGAGGCAACAGAAACTTCCACATACAAACTCTTACCTGATTCTTGTTGCCCACAAGCTCATTTTCAGTTTTAAGATCGATTATTTGTAACTAGTTGTCAGTTAAACAATCCTGAGTGAGATTGGATTCTATTTAGATTCAGCCTACATGCTTCTTCAAAGTCACATTCTTGACCACTCAAGTCAGACAGTTCAAGGAAACTAAGGGAATGCTCCCTAGATGCTGAATTTTAATCTGTATTTTCCCTAACAGTGTTAGTAATAGCCCTACTTATATTTTATTGGCATAAGGTAAAGGTTTCTATGACATTTCTGTACTTGTGTATAATGCTCTTTGATCATATTCAATGCTTTATTACTCCTCCTCATTCTTCATTGTTTTTTTTTTTTCTTCACATTTTCTTTGATTTAACTTTAAAGATACTAAAGAGTTCAGTGCAGGCTCATGATGCCAGCACTTTTGAGGCTAAGGCTGAAGGATCTTGAGTTGGAAGCTAACCTGAGCTACATGACAAAACCTTGTCTAAAAATAAAGGCAGCAACGACAAAAAGATTAGAGAACAGAAACTCCACTTTTTTTTTTTTTTTACATTATTTCATTGCATGAGTTTGTTTGCCACAATCAAATTGGCAATGTCGTATCTTCCACCTGCGTTGATACCGCTCAGTTGAAAGAAGATACCACGGCTGTCTCCTCTTCCGAGAAGAAATAATAAATGTTGATCATTAACCGAAGAAATTACATCCCTTACAGGAATCTCACTTAATGCCTCACTTAAATGCAGACTTCCTTGCCTGCCCTCAGGTTCTCAGCTGAATTTGAAAGAAAAAAAAAAAGGGGGGGGGAGCTTCAAACAGAGTCCAGGCAAATAAATGGTTTTGTGGGATGACTGTGAGAACTGGTAGGCGGTTTCCCGGGCAGGGCGGACCGCCAGAACATCCCGGCTACATCTTCAGTCACTCGTTCTCCTCTCTGTTCTCCATCCTCTTTCTCCCTACACAGAACCAGCTCCGATCTCTCTCCACACCTGCCTTCCGCTTTTCCATCCCAGCCTCCTTGAACTTAGGAAATCAGCGTTCGCGTATCCACTCTGTGGCTGTGAAAGACCCCCACGGGGCTGCTGCCCCTCCCACCACCCGGCAGTAGGTGTTGGTCGAAGGCTGATGGGTGGCTAGCTGGAAGTGAAAGCTGAGTAAGCTTCTGGACTGCTCTTGCGCGCGGGGAGGCAACATCCGGAGGCAGGATCCGATCCGGTGTCTGCGTGGGTGGACTCTTACCCGCTCCCCGGGGGGCCTCGAGTTGAGCATCTGCAGACAGCAACTGACCACGGTCTCCCTGGGGCTGAGAGCAGGCACTCGTCTTTACAGCGCCCAACGACGCCTCCAACTCCCTCGCCATCCACACACGCGGTTCACGACCGCCCCTTAACCCGGGACTGACCCGGTTCCCTTCTAGACAGAGCCTACGTCCCGGGTCACGGGTCGTCCTCTGGAGGTGCGGCCGCGCCCTGCGCCTCTCAAACCGGCTCAGGAGGACCTCGGAGCGGCGGCGCGGGGCAGGGCCTGCTGGGGGGGAGCGCGGCGGCGGCCTCTCGGCGAGGGCTTTGCCAAGGTCACGGCCGCTCCTGGCGCGCCCGTGGGAGGCTCGGCGGCTCGGGAGGAGGACCGGCGAGTCCCGCGGGGCGCTGGCAGGGACGGCCCCCCACCGGCACGGCGCCCCGCCGCTTCCTCCGGGAGGTCCAGCCAGGGCTCGCGCGCCTCCAGGCCCCCGGGTACCTGCTGGCCAGCGGTCCGCGGTGAGAGTGGGGACTGGCTTTCTCATTTCATCCCCTCCGAGAGGGCAGGCAGCTGTGCCATCATCTGCCTCCGCTCCAGTAGCTCGGCTTACGGGCGGACGGGCACTATAGGCTAAGGGAATTTGGGGGGGGAAAAAGAAGTTACAGACAGCACCATCCCAGATCTTTATAAAAATAAGGGGGGGGGGGCGGCGTGTGTGTCTTTTCTCTCCAATTCTTTGCAAACTTTTCATCTCATGGGAAAGGGGGGGTGTGTGTATGAATGCCACTTGTGCATCCTGCCTCGTGAGCGGACATGCTGGTCCCCCGCCGCCAGGCGCTGTTACTGAACTAGGGGGACTTTCCCTCTTTCCCAAGGCTGCGGGGAGAGCCGGATCCCGGGTGCACAAGGTTCTTCCAGACCCGCCTCCCGGCTGCAGCCTGGATACTGGGAAAGCCCGTCGTCCTCGCGGTCCGGGATTTTCCCGGGCTTTCAGATCGGATGGAGTTTCCGGGTGCCCGGGGAAGGATCCTCGAGGGGTCCTGGGGTCCCGCAGCCACGGAGGAAGGTGGGGCTGGGGCGGGGGTTGGAACGGGCGGGGGTGGGTAGAGCAAGGCCGCCGAGCGTCGAGGTTGCTGAAAAGCGCTGAGCTAGCCTGATGCTCTCCTCTTCGCTCCTTCTGAAAGACTCCGCAGTGAGGCTTTAGCGTAACATTCACGGGAAGAGGTCTTTCTTCCATGCCCCACCGGACCATGGCAACTGAGGGAGTTGGGCAAAAGGATAATTTTGTCTTTGTTTCTTCCAAGTTTCTCTTCTCCTTGTACTAGCTTAGCGTAGAGTGTCTGTCAGGGAGAAAGGCTCTTTCGCAAAAATAGAAACTTCTTTCTTTCAGATTCACTCTTAGAGAACTTAGAGAGGAAGAGCTGGAGCAGGCGTTGGGGGTGGGATGGGAATTCAAGATTTTAGAGGGGAACCTTCCCTACCTCATCGAGTCAGAGGAACCTCCATTTACAGCCAGCATTGTCTTAAACAAAACAAAACAATCTCAAAAGTCGAGAAACCTTAAAGTCATGCGTGACCGCCACCGGGGAGCCATGCAAACTTCCTTTTTAAACCGTTTGGACACCTGGCTCTTTTTAGTAAAAACATCCCCGCGCATCTTCTCGTCTGTGACATTTGATACCAATCAGCTTTGTGCAAAAGCAGAGCTGTGTGGCCCTTCACTGGTTTCATGGGACACAGGAGTCAGGAGCAGCTTGCCCTGTGTGTGTAGTTGAGGTATCAATGATGCTTGTGTACCTAACACACCCACACATACCCCTCTTTTGTTCTCAGGAGAAGAGACAAGGCTCCACTGCCCTGATCTAGCTGTGGCCACTGGAAGGTTCTCAGGTGGGTGTGTGCCTCTTGGTATCCAGCATGCAAAAGGTTCCCAGTCTTGAGTGTGGAGTGCAGGACCTGGGTCTTTGGCTCAGGCCTCTTAGCAGCACTTGTTTTTTCATTTCATTCCTCTCCTTGCTGTAGAATAGTTTCTTTGCTAACGGTTATTGCCGTTTGTCAGACGTTAAGTGTTTTACAACCTTGTGATGTCAGATAGCAGAGTAATTAATAGACAGCACACATGGCCAGTGCTACTTTATGATCTCCAATTCCGTCTCATGCCACAAAAATCTGATGGTTTGTGGTTTGTGTAGATAAAAAAAAAAAAATCGTTAAATATTTGAATAGGTCTTAGTGGACGTGGTGTCGAGTTCGAAAGGCCCGTGGGACACAGTGAGAAGCTCCTCTCCTGCCCCTGGCCCTTGGTTTCCCCTTCCTGAGACAATCACTGTTACTACTGCTCAGCCCATTGGCCTTCTGTGTATTTTGTAACTGAAAACCAGCAGAGTTCAAGAACTTTTTTGAGGCCTCCACACACCAGTGACTTAAAAACAACGATAACAACAAGCAGCCAAACAAACAAAAAAGTATCGCTCGTCAATTCGTTATTTCAGTTGTTCCTCTCTGTCTTGCTGCTGAATACTGAGGTGACAAGGATCCAAGCTACTTTATAGAAAGTCTTCCTGCCTCTGGAGTTTGACACATAGATGGGTTTGTTTCTTGACCTTCATGACCCCTCAAACAACCTGCACAGTGGCCAGCGAATGGTAGGCCTCTGCTCATACTCTCACATGCAGGCGTAAGGATGTTTGGCATCTGTGGTAAGCCACGTTTTGGTTCACATCCCCCTGTGAGGCAGCGCTTCCCTCCTTGACAACGATGCTAGGTTCAGGTCCTGCTGGCCGCAGCACACATACTTCTGAGCCCCTCTTCTCTCAACTTCTATAGCTTGCAAAGTATATCATTAAACCCTGGAAGGGTGGCAGTTTGTGTGGTCCTAAGACACAGAGCACTGGAGTTTGGGTCCTGGCTTTGACACCTTGTTCTAGACCTGCACCCATCCTCTGTGTTCTACATGACTCCATCTCCCTCGCCTGGAAAGGGGTGATTCACAGGGCTGTTGTGAAGGTACAAGAGCTTAGCACAGAACCTGGCCCATGAAAGGCATATCGTAAGCAGAAGCCCTTCTGACTGCCAGAGTTTGCCATCATCTCATCTTAAGACAGGGGAATGCATCTGTCAGCTTAAGGTGAGGTAACAAACAGCCCCAAGAAGCTCAGGGAAGAATGGGTTTCGTGCTCATATGCTGTATGTCTTAGGCATTTGTCTTTGGCTTTTCCCCCTGGGTAGTAGTTCTTTAAGGACTGCTGATGTTAGGGCGAGAGATGCTGTGTTATGAATGAAGGTGAAACTGCACTTTAAAACGTCAGCTTGGTAGTAAGCTTCTGCACAGCTTCCACTTCTGACTCTGGTCGTGTTGACATGGTTAGTCATGGAAGCGGCCAGCAGTCCAAAGCAGGGGAGCCTTTTCAAAAGGGCCAGCTGGGGAATGGCAGGGAGCGAGGAGCAGAGGCAGCAAACACCCTACCTTGGTGTTTGCTGGAAGGGATCATAACTGTGGACTCAGAGGTTCACCAAGCCCTAAGAATGAATTCTCACCAAGACTACCGTGTGTCCCTGACTTTCTTTAAGATGCCAGCTTTCCCTTGATGGTGCCTTGGGTCCCAGGTGTGAGAGCCTACTTCCAGCAGATACTTTCGCCAAATGGATCTTCTCGAAAGACAGAACTGCAAACTCACAGGCTATATAAAGCAAACAAAACAACATTGAGCTGTCACCAAAAACACTGTATTTGGAAAAAAATACTCTTTTAATGTAGTTCTTGTGGAACTGGCAAAGCCCAAGGATGAGCTGCAATTGAAGCATTTCCTAGACAGAAATGGAGATGGTTCCCACTCTTTGTTTTTAAGCTCTTTGCTTAAAAAATCGTGTGTGTGTGTGTGTGTGTGTGTGTGTGTGTGTGTGTTGTATGCATTTACTACCCTCTTTGGTAAAGGCCTGTCATTAACCTACACTTTGCAAAGTAGGCTAGGCTAGCTGGCTCATAAGCCCGCAGGGACCTCCTCTCTTACCAGCACTGAGATTACAGGGCTGACATGCTCCTCAGTTTTTTTGTGTGAGTCCTGGGGACCGAGACACAGTCCTCACACTGGCAAGGCAAATGCCAGTGAGCCATCTTCCAAGTTCGCCATTTTATTTTGGTGCTTTAACTTGCAAGTGTAATGCAGTTTTATTGTAGAAAAAAATTTTTTTAAATAAACAAGGAATGTAGGTGGACAGTGGAGGTTACTCAAGAGTCATACCAATGAATTCCATTTATCAATTGCGAATTGCCTCATTGCATAAGTTAGTGTAATTATTCTCGTTCACGTTGTCTGCTTCTTGAGTCAGTGAGACTTTATTATCGTAATAAAAGTGCATTGAAAGGGCAGCGTGGGGTGGTTTCGGCAGTTCCACCCACTGCATGAGAGTTTATTCTTGGCGGCTTTCGTTTCAGTTCCTTTTTCCAGGATTGGCCCAAGACATTGAGGATTCCTCTCGCTGCTTTTGTTCTTTACCTTACATTTGAGGGTCTCTTCCCTTGTTAGGCAGTTCAGTATGCCGCAACAATGTCCAAGAGATAGGAATGCAAAATTAAAATGAAAGATGAGTTTCTAAGTCAACAAAAGACATTTTGCTTGGCTGTCCTTTATGAAATAAGCAAACGAAGCTTGATTTTAGCAGCATGGCTTTGTAAAGCAAAGAAGAAGTGATGTCGTTTTCTTTTTAGAGATTTCTTTGTTATGTAGTGTTCTGCCCCCTGCATGTGCGCCTGCAGGCCAGAAGAGGGCACCAGACCACATTGTGGGTATGTCTGTGTACCAGCTGTCTGCAGTACCCGAGGTTGCCAGAAGAGGGCAAACATCCTCTGCAGCTACAGAAGGTTGCAAGCCACCCCGTGGGAGCTGGGAATCTGACAAGGCCCCTGTGGAAGGAGAGCCGCAAGCAGCGGCCCCATCTCTCCAGGCCCCTGTGTAGAACCTTTAAGTTTCTTATTTTAAGAAGGCCTCACAATTTATCTTCATATTATAATGGAATTAATCGTCTCTATGTTTTTTTGTTTTTGTTTTTGTGTGTGTATGGCGCCAATTAAGCCCCAAACCAGTTTTCTTTTTGACAGTCTCACTAGGTGGCCCAGGCCGGGCTTGAACTCATCATGTTTTTGCCTTAATTTCTCAAAAGGGTTTACCGCCACGGCACGGCTTTTGGTTTGCATCACTATTTCAATGAGGAACAGACACACGGATCCTCTGCTCCCCCTAAATCACTGTCTTGTTAACAGCCGTCCACATGATGAGGACGGTCAAAGGAGAAACGAGACAAAGCGAGGGGAAGAGGGATAGCAGTCCGTGTAGGTTGTTCTCAGTCCCCTAACCACATGTGGGAACTAACCTGAGGTTTGACTGTTGCAGGCCGGGAGCATCATGTCCACCTTTGAAGACGCCGATACGGAAGAGACCGTCACATGTCTCCAGATGACGGTTTATCATCCGGGACAGCTGCAAAGTGGAATATTTAAGTCAATCAGGTTTTGCATCAAAGAGAAATTTCCTTCCATCGAGGTGGTGAAATTTGGACGGAATTCCAACATCTGTCGGTATACTTTTCAGGACAAGCAGGTTTCCCGGGTTCAGTTTGTTTTGCAGCCGTTTAAACAGTTCAACAGCTCAGTCCTCTCGTTTGAAATTAAAAACATGAGTAAGAAGACCAGCTTGATGGTGGACAATCAGGAGCTCGGCTACCTCAATAAGGTGGACCTGCCTTACAGGTGCATGCTCAGGTTCGGCGAGTATCAGTTCCTGCTGGAGAAGGAGGATGGAGAGTCAGTGGAATCCTTTGAGACTCAATTCATCTTGTCCCCGAGACCACTCCTGCAAGAAAATAACTGGCCAGCGCAGAGTCCCGTCCTCGAGGATGGGGGGTATTCCTCCTACTTCACCCATCGAACGTCTCCTACAGAAATGGATGAAAACGAATCGTGAACAGTATGCAAGGAGAGGAACACGAAGGATGAGGGCACCTGGCTAGGCACTTGCGAGCCGTTCTGCTTCTTTGGAGTTTGGGAGTGTAGTGTGCTGACTTTGGGTTTGGTAATAGCATCTGGGTATCTGTAGACCGTGTTAGTCATCAGCTTAGTCAGCTGATTTCATTCTGGACCTACAAAGAATTAAGTGCACACCTGTGAGGGTCGGTGTAGAAAGCCCATCTTCTGTGTAACGGGGTTCCCTTTTTTCTGCTTGATGTCACTCCTGTACTTAAGTTTTGGTAGCAGCCGTCTCTTGGCTTGGTCAGATCATTCCCCAGCAGCCTTTGTTTTTCAAGTTCAGAGCTGGGGCGGGTTGTTCGCTGGTGTCTGTGACACGCTAGTACCTGTAGAACCATAGTCCTGGGATGAGTTCCAGACTACTATTTGAGTCACTGTGGTTTCACTATGGAAAGACTTGAAAAATAACACCTTGATTTTCTTTCTACAGAATTATAATGCTCATTCCAACCATAGCAGTTTCGCTTTCCTGTATGTAGGGCCTACAATTAACATTTAAAAACATTGAAATTAAAATTAGTTTCTTACAAAACTGAAAAGGAATTTTATGTATATTACACATTTAAATGTTGCAGAAATCAAAATTTTCAGTAGCTTCTTTGCATCTGGTACTGTCAGAGCTCAGGCCCCTAGAGCTGCTTCTTTGAAACTTCTCAAAGAAGGAAAACTTTTGTTCTTAGGCTGCTGTATAGAAGTGCATATATGTGAATATTTATAATAAATGCTTAAATATTTCTAAGCTTTCAGTTTCACAAGAAGTTGTATTTATTTAAAAGATTCTTATTTAATTCATTTAGCTAGATTAAGATGAGTTTTAGTGAATGTTATGTTTAGAGGACCATAACCATCACAGCTAAGGTAAATTCTGGCATTACCAGGAAGTAAGGCTTTCTGTATAATTTCCTTGGTGAATGAAAGTTCATCCTGTAACTCGTACAGATTTTTTCTTTTGCAGTGGGGAGAAGTAAGGTGGGGCTAGCTAACCACAGACATATCTTATTTTTGTTTTTGTGACTACATCTTGATTTGAAGATCAGGCTGGCCTTGAACTTGTGATCCTCGTGAATCAGGCCCTGATTGTTGTGATAACGGATGTGCACCCCATGCCTAGTATAATGTACTTTATTTCTGCAACAACCCTTTGAAACTATTTCTAATGAACATTTAAGCCTGGGTCCATGTGAATGATGTCTGCACTATGCCTCCTGGTGTGGCTCACCAGTCACTCCTAGCCTGCAAAGGACGGCCTGTCCCAGCCCTTGGATTGTTGCTATGGGCACCATTTTTTCTCTGTGCTAGGTGCCCAGATGCCTGTTTCACTTCTCATCTAGTTTTCCTGCTGACTCCTGTGGTAAGCGAAGAATGGCCCACAGATGTCCAGGTGTCTATGTGCTAACTGCCAGAACCTGTGAATATGTCATGACACAGCAGAGACAAACGCATGCAGCAGAATGACTTGAAGTTGCTCATTAGATTACCTTAAAGAGATCATCTTGGATTATCCCAGACTCAGTTAATAACAGGGTCCTTAAAGGCAGGAGGGGTAAAACAGATGATACCAGATGGATGAGGCATGAGAGGGACTGGACTTGGCCAGCTGGTAAGGGCTTTGCATTTGGAGGAAGGAGACCATGAACCAAGGAAAGCTGCAGCACCTTGAAGCCAGAAAATATGCATAAGCATCTACGTGCTGGAGAGGACAGAGAGACCTCAGTAAGAATTTAATCCTGAGGACTCTTTAGTCCGATGACAGCTGCCGTTGACTTCTGACCCATAGAACGTTAAGATTTTATACCTGTGCTGCAAATTACAGCAATCTATTACAGCAGCAAAGAGAAAACAAAAATACTCCCTGTTATATAAGGGTATTGTCTTAGTTTTTCTATCGCTGTGAAGAGGCACAATGATCAAGACTACTTATAAAAGGAAGCATTAGCCACGCTCAGCAGCGCGAACCTGTGATCCCAGCACTCAGGAAGGCAGAGGCAAGTGGATCTTTGTGAGTTCAAGGACAGCCTGGTCTACAAAGTGAGTCCAGGACAGCCAAGGCTACACAGAGAAACCCTGTCCCAGGGGGAGAAAAGTAAATAAAAGAAGTATTTAATTGGAGAGCTGGCTTACAGTTTTAGAAGATGTGTCTATGGTCATCATAGTGGGGCATGGGGTGGCAAGCCAGTAGGTGCGGCTCTGGAGCAGCAACTGAGAGTTCACAGCTTGATCCAAAGGTCAAAGGTAAAGAGAGGAAGACTGGGCCTGACTTGCTTGGGCTTTTGAAATCTCAAAGCCCTCCCACAGTGATGTACCTCCTTCAACAAAGCAACACCTCCCAATCCTTCCTCAGCAGTCCACAAGCTGGGGACGTTCTCATTGAACCCACCGCAGGTGTACACTGTCATTTCTCGCCACAGTCCATCAATGGCCTCCATTACACCACTTTGTTTTCGGACTATACCTTCTTTTCTGATGCAAATTTGCAAACTAGATCACTTAGCCTGTTAAAAGTGCTCGCGGTGAGTGTAATAGTGTTTGGTTACAAAAAATAAAACCCCTCCTGGGCTATTCAATCATAGAGGGGATTCTCAAAGGGAAACCAAAGTCCCTCACAGAAAAAAAAAAAAAAAAAAAAAAAAAAGGAAGGAAGGAAGGAATGCTGCAGGTTTGCAGTGAGATTGCACTACCCAGCCTCATTCCTTGGCCTGTGGTGACCCCAGTCTTCACACACGTGACTTAGACATGGCCACCAGGAACTTGCAAGATTTGCCTACATTTGTGGCTCAGAGAGCCAGACCTCCCTGGCTCAGTTCTTGACAGGGTTGTTATGCCCAAGTCTCACAGACCCCAGAGACCACCCAGGAGCTGATTCTGATGCAAATGCAGTAAGGTCTTTATTTCAAGCTTGAGCTGGGGGTCCACACCATCACCGCCACAGTCACTGACACAGTCACTGTCACACTGGTTCTCCAGTGTAGAGCCCCGGGCTCAGGGAGAGGGGGTTTTTATCGGAGTTACAGCAAGATCCGGGGAATTCCAGCTTGGCAGTTCTAGGATTGATTGACATTTAGCAAATACCGGGTGTCAAGAGGGCCAAACCGTAATTGTTTTACCCATTGTAAAGAACCCCCGGCAAACTCTAGGTCTTCACTGATTAGCCGTTGCTAGGGGTGATGGTTAAATATTACCAGACGTGAGTGGTCGAAGCATCTTTTTTTGTTTTTTTTCTTCTTTTTGAAACTGGAGTTCATGTCCAGGTCATTTACCCTTAAGGCGGAGTTTCTTTTTCAGGCCTCACAGGGTAAGCTCCACTGAGGTGCCCAAGCCTCCACCAACCAACCCTCTGAAGGTAACACAATCACACTCTAAAACAGCAGCCTTGTGGGTGACCGTGTAGGGATTAAAAAGCATTTTCTGACAACAACAGCTACAACAAAATCGCCATAGCAGAGTGGAAATGAGGACAAAGGGAAAGTGGTGTCTGGTGCAACGTATGTGTAGCTAAGTGAAATTTTCAGCACGGGTCTTAAGGACTCCGCCTCTAGGGGTCAGCACGTGGCTTTTAAAGGGGCATGTCAGCTGGTGACAGTATCACACCCAACGGGCTGGCAAAAGCGAACTCACGTGGCATGTGACTTTTAGTTTTTTATTTTTAAAAAAATCTATGTATTTTTTTTTTTTTAAAATACACAGTGGGTAAGTGGGTAAGTGGTGTATGTGGGTAAGTGCTAGAGTTACAGGCAGTTGTTTGTGTGCTTAGGACTGAGCTTGGGTCCTCGGCAAAAACAGTGGTCAAGTCCCTCTTAACTGCTGAGTCATCTTTCCAGGCTCTAGCATAGGGTTAATTTTTTTTTTTTTTAAATAGATTTCTGTGTGTGAAGACTTACACACGTGAATTGGTAGAGGTCAGAGGTCAACTTTGGAGATCAGTTATCTTCTTCCACATAGGAGTTTTACAACCACTCTCTAGAAAATTCTATTTCTATATGAAACGCCTTGACTGACAGGCAGAAGCTCTAACATGAATAAAGGTTATTTGTTTCAGTGGGCATAGGATGGGGGTATTCATCCAACATGTACTTTAAAAAATAACTGATATATGCAGATAATATCTTCGTGTTACAGAAAACTAGCCATAACCTTACTGTCAGGAGATACTGTTGGTAGTCTGAGTAGCAGCTGCCTCTATGTTACCTAATGGTTCTTTTGTTTTTTTTTTTTTTTCTAGTTAGTGTTCATCTACATCCTTGATTGTTAGTTGGGAATGAAGGAGGTGTGGTTACCACTGCTCAAAAGCCCAAATCGTGGTAAAACAGAAAACTCCTGAGGTTAGATGGATTGTAAATTATGACAGTGGAACACATCTTAGGCCTCCTTAGGACATTGTGCTGCTCAAATTCGTTCCCTGAGGAAGACAAACAACACATACCACTCTTCCCAAAGCCCCAACCACAAAGCAAGGTGTGATTCCCACCGAGTTCATTCTGGGAGGCCTGTGAGCTTATTAGCCTTCCAGACAGGGCAGTGGGTAAGAGGTACCCCGAAGGAGCAGGGGTGGCCTTAGGCCCTACTACAAGGAAGGTGTGTTCCATCTAGGATGGATAATGACTCCTCTGCGGTCATATAGATGGAACCGGTTCCCACTAACCCCTACCCCGGCATCCCAGTCTTTCCTCACTTCTGTATTCTCACTCTCCCTGAAGCCAAGTGCACTGAAGGTAGAATTGCATACAACTGGTTAGGAGGAAAGGATACATATGTGGGTGAGGGTCCCAAGACCCTTCCCAAACCCCCCCCCCCCAGTGAAGGAAGTCAGCAGTCAACAAGGTCAGCTCTGATGTTCTTTCATGGCAGGCCACAGATGATTTGATGACGAGAGCAGTTTAGTTCAGAGGTGTTGACACAAAACCCACAAATCTCAACTCAAAGGCGATGAGAAATCATTTTATTCTGGAGCCAAAGATGAGTGACCGTGGCCTGGGAATACAGATTTAGGTTATCCTAAATCCCATGCATCAGCTTGGAAGCAGTTTCATGAAGTTTGTATAGTAACAGAATAAGGAAAGTCATCAATCAAGGTGCTTTTCAAATGCACTGCTATAAACATTGCGTGGGTGGTTGCAGCACAGTGGAAAAACCTGCTGGAAGCCTCAGATGCGAGTTGATGACTCTTAATAACCTTTCGGTTGGTGGGAAATTAGGGTGCTTGTTAATAGACTCCAAAAGGTTTTATCTGTAGTCAGGACCTTAGGTTCTTACATAGAGGGCAGCAACGGTGGCTATTCAGTGGTCTAAAAATAGCTCGGGATAAATTGCAGTTCGTCTCTGGACCTGCAACATTCTAAACTCCACAGTCACGGAAGGGTTTGGCTTCTGTCCAGGTGGAGACAGTCCTGAAGGAAAACATCACTGGGCTATTTTAAAACGAGTTTCAAATCCTCGGCTAAGTAAATGAAACAAAATAAACCCGGAATTTCCCAAACCCTCACAAACGATGTTGACCCAGTCTCTAGAGAAGGAAGCATGATGTTATTAAATGTGGGCTATGAATCAGACTGCCAGGGTTTGTCTTTATTTCTGATGTATCCTGATGCTTTTTTCCTCTTTTGAAACTAAGAATTAAGGCAGCGCTTCCCACACAGGGCCTCTGTGAGGCTCAGCTGAGGTGAGGTGTGGAGTTATCACAGTGCTCCACATTAGGAGTAGCAGGGAGTCACTGGTCCTTGTGTCTCATGTTCTCTGGGCTAC